GAAACTCAAAAAGTAATTTCGTTCCTTGAACACAACTTTTGCCAGAATAATGGATCCTAGCCACAACATTCTTAGATAATTAAGTAATTGAGTGTGTGTATATATATATATATAGTCTCAAAACAACCACAATCTCGTGGAATTATTAGGACATAGTGAAAATATAGAGAGCAAATGAAAGAAAAGATCCATATAAAGTTGGGACTAATTAAGTTTTACCCTTGCTTAATATGTTCTCTTTAGATACAGTGTCTGCTAGGAGTTATTAATCTGGTTAGAGATTTATATGTCGATAGAATACAGAGAACTTCTAATATTAGAGAACCTAGACTTTTAAATAATATGGATAAACCATCCCAATTCCCCTATATATGGATGTTTTGAGTTTTGACGTCTCTTCCTAGTATCCCGACGTTTTAGGTTTTGATTACTTCTTGAAGCAAAAAGTGTTTCCTTTTATTAACTTCCTTCTTCTGTGCATGCTCTACTACGTGAACCATGTGATGGAGATAGCACTTTTCCTCTTTTACGTGTCGTTTTGTTCTTTTTCTTACCTTTTTCATTTCTTTCATCCATCAATCGTTTTCTCATTTTTGGAAAAATAAAAAATAAAAACAATAACGTTGTAAAACTAACTGAGGTATACAATATCCTTTTCAGCTGGTAGAGAAGGATCCAGAAGCAGCAATAGTATGGTTTTGGAAAGCAATAAATGGAGGAGACAGAGTGGATAGTGCCCTTAAAGACATGTGTGTAGTCATGAAGCAACTTCATCGAACTGAAGAGGCTATTGAAGCCATCAACTCTTTCAGATCTCTCTGCTCCCAACAAGCTCAAGAGTCCCTTGATAATGTCCTCCTCGATCTTCTCAAGGTATATATATTATCGAGTTTTGAGAATGAAGAATTTAACTTTCTACTCGATGAGAATCTAAATTAGTCGGATCGAGTTTTGAATATTGGACAATAAAACCAAAAAAGTGAAATTACATAGGAAAAGGGGATAAGGGAAGTACATATATACGGAGATTCATGGTGAAAGTTTGGACAGTTCACAAAGTGTGTTTCCAATTTCCAATCACTATTTCACTTAAATTATATATTGTTACCTCAATATCTCCCGGATCCAGTATTTAAATCTTATGAGTTTAACTTTTAAAGTTTTTAGCATTGAACCCATTAGATTTTTAAAGTTATGGGAATTCATATCTACTTTCTTTGTAATTTTAATGAATTTTTACACATAAATTTTAACTCTGCATCAAAAGTTATGGGTTCAGTAAAATCCGATGATACTACACTACATCCGCCACCGAATTGAATACCTCATAGGCTTATACTAATACACATGGATATATATAATATGTGCACAAGCTAAGTTTGATGAATGGTAAAGTGAGTCGACTATTGATTATGCTAAAAAGGACAATTGATATACAAGACTGGAGTTTGCTCATAGACATGAGATGTATTACACCAACTATATTATAATATTATATGGACTAATTGTAATATATTTTACATGTATGCAGAAATGTGGAAAAGTAGATGAACAAATAGCGCTGTTGAAACAAAAGTTGAGACAGATATACCAAGGGCAGGTCTTCAATGGTAAACCTACAAAAACTGCTCGTTCTCATGGAAAGAAGTTTCAAGTTTCTGTCAGGCAAGAGACAGCCAGAGTTCTGGTAATTATACTACTACCTTTTACTATTTTCTTTAATTTAAAATATTCATATTAGCAGCATACCTATAAGATAATTACAGCTTATTGTCCATAAAAAATGGGATTTGTTACCTGAAAATAAGATAGGTTGCTTGCTATAAGAGAGGTTAAAATCCAACTTTAAAATAATAATCTTTCGTAGAATGTTCAAAATACAAAATATTATGTACGGCTATAAAAGAATGCTCATACTGAGAGTATAATTCCACAAGCTGTAATATGTTGTTTACCTTCTTTTACATTATATCAGTGCTCAACAATTAAAAAATGTTACAGGGAAATTTGGGCTGGGCATATATGCAAAAAGGGAATTTTATGGCAGCAGAAGTTGTATACAAGAAAGCCCAAATGATTGATGCAGACAGCAACAAGGCCTGTAATCTGGCCCATTGCCTAATGAAACAAGCCCGGTATGATGAGGCCCGAAATATTCTTGAAAATGTTTGGAGAGGCAATTATGCTGGTTCTGATGATCCAAAGACAAGGAACCGTGTGGAGGAATTGGTGTTGGAATTGGACTCGAGGCCATTCTTGCAAAACGTTCCGGGCCTAAATTTGGATGATGATTTTGTTAATGGGCTTGAACAGCTGATAAATGAATGGGCCCCTTCAAGATCAAGAAGACTGCCAATATTTGAGGAGATCTCTACTTTCAAAGATCAATTGGCTTGTTGATAATTATCAATATTCAAATGATTTGGGAAGGATTGTAATATGTTAGTCATTCAAATTAGTTGAAAATAAATAAGCAAAGAGATGTGATCTGTGTAAATTGTGATGTAAATGAGATCTTTGGACAAAGTTTTGGGAAATGAATTGCTCTGCTTGTCGTTGTTGGTTAAAACACTTGTTTTTCGAAATTTACTGGCTCGATAAAATCAGCTAAATTGGATAAATCCCTACTTTCTGAAAGGTCCTTTGAAATCAAGGGCGGCTCTAGGGTAAGGCAAGTGAAGCTCTTGCCTTAGGCCCCCAAATAATTAAGGCCCCAAAAATAAAAAGTACTATTATATTATTATATAATATATACTCCATAATTTATATTTATATATTAATAAAAAAATTCAAATTTTAATAATTTTTAATATTTCGACGTAAGATTGAGTGAGTTAATTGGATAATTTTTTTCACTAAATTAAATAATATATTTACCTTCTCATCAATTTTTTTCTATATGTATAGTCTTTTTCATGGTTCTTACGATTTTACTTTCTAATTTCAACTCCAATTCTCTAAATTAACTATTTCTTTTTGTCACATTTGATTGATCCACACACCAAAAAGCAAGTTTTTTTGTTTCTCATCTTTTTTAACTAAGAAATCCCCGAGGCAAATGTCGCAGGGTTCAAAACATGATGAATAATGTGCTCACCCTTTACCATTTTCACTTAAGGGAAGAATTCAATACCATATGACGCACGCCTAACTCATTGATCATGAGTTGTGCTCTCACCGCTATATCAAAGTTATGTAGTTTTTTTTTTGCGTCTCAATACTATATGGATTTTATAAAAGACATTTCAGGGTCTTTTTAATATATTTTGGTTTATGCCACCAGTTTTCTTGAGCCGTCCCTCATTGACAATCAACAATTATTTACAGACTACTGCCCCATTATAAACGTACTGTTCAACCAGATTCATTCACATTTGATAACTGAATGACAAACTCACTGCCTCTAATGCTCTTGTCATTGTTGCCTTATTTTAAGTGAGACGCTATAAATTTTATTGAGAATGTCAGCGACGGATAAGTGGTTCTAGTAGGAGACTAGCAAAGCCTTGATTTAGGTCCCCCCAGAATTTTAATAATGGATTTTATAATTTTATTTCAAATTAGACAATATTAATGTTTGTAGAAAAAATAAAAATGTACAAAAAAAATTGAAAAAAAAAAGAAAGGTGTCTACTCTTAAATAGTAAAAATATTTTTAAAACTTTGAATTATAATACTTAAATCTTCATATTAGTAAATATTATTTTTACTATAATATCAAATGTAACATATTGCAAATACATGTCTAATATCTCGTTTATTTAAATTTTTCTTTTCTAATATAAATAATAATATTACTATGTGAAGTTAAAGACCCTTATGTCATTTAAGAATATATGCTATAAAGAACAAGTATGAAAAAATTGGCAAGATTAATTTTTTTTTTTGCATATATGTGTGTATACGTACTAATTAAAAAAGTATAAGGCCTCTTTTTAATCAATAAGATTCTTTACTGTAAATGGAAATGTACCTTATTTAGGGTTCACCTATTATATAAAGGGGACCCCAATCATTTGTAAACATCATCTAATCATTGGCAAAGAATATACTCTCTTACTTTCTCGCTCATTGTTCATCAGAATTGTCCTTTAGCTTTATTATTCTTGCTTTATTGTTCTTGACCAATCTCGAGGTCACTTGAGCTCGAGGTCGAGACTTATTTATCTACTGGTTTGATCGTACTTATTTCTTTCATATATACTTTAGATTTTTTGGTTATTAATTAGTATTTGACTAAATCACGTATCTTTAAAACCATAAATCAAATTTAATTGTTACTCGTATTTTCGAGGTAAACATGACCTTTGTGGAAAGTGCATATTGCTTCTTCTAAGGATCTTTCTAATCAGACGATGCATAAATTATTTACCTCAGCTCAAGTTTTTCATGACTTTCTCGGACGTCAAATGCATATACAATCAAACTTCTCTATAACAGCCTCGTTTGTTCCGACTATTTTTGTATGTTATAGCTGATAGAATCTATGTACAAATCTAACCGAGAACACAATTGCATGTGATTAGAAAGAAAATCAGTGTAGAGAGAAGAAGAAGACGAGTGAGGAAGAAGATGTATTCATATCTGTGTAACTAACTATGTTAATACATAGTGTTGGTTATATACATCTGGCTCACACAAGTCACGTGTGTAAAATAGGTGTAAAAAGACTAAAATACGCCTGACTAACTAACATAACTACCATATGGCTAAAATACCCTACTTTAATAATAGTGAAGTGCTGTTATATACGTACACCACGAAGAATTCGACATGATTGTTACTTGAGAAACAGATTATTTCGACTCTCGAATCAAAACAAAATAATTTGGAGAAAAGAATTAAAGGACAAATTATACTCACATATCTTTGTATTAATAAAATTACCTTTCATTATATTTGTTTGTAATTGCTGCTGTTTAATTTTGATATTCTCAATTCGTCGCGAACAACTATATGTATCGTACATATAAATTTTTGTGACATTAGTTATGAATTTATGATGCGAATCTATTAGCCAGCAGGCACATCCTACCTTATCACAGTGTGATCTCTATCTCGGACTCTCGGTCTAATGCTAAGCCATCGGTCCACTTCTACAGAATTATGCTTTTTAGGAAAGTTCAATCGTTGAACTTTCTTCACCTGAAACTTGCTCACGCTAAACCTATTTGCGGCTGTCCATCTTATAGCCTTCCCAAACAATCCTATACTCATACATAGAATCGGTCAAAATCTTGGTCAATTACTCCAAGTGGATAGCTCCAATAAACACAATCAAGCAAAAATCCTCCACAATCTTAATTGAAAATGGCAGGTAAAGAACCAGTTATCATCACAGACAAGGAAGAGATGAGAAAATGGACAAGAACCATGAGATCCAAAAACCATACAATTGGCTTTGTCCCCACTATGGGTTACCTTCACGACGGCCATCTTTCTCTAGTCCAAGAAGCACAAAAACATACTGACCTTATAGTTGTGTCCATTTATGTAAATCCAGGTCAATTTTCACCCAATGAAGATCTTTCTACATACCCTTCTGATTTTCAAGGCGATATTCAGAAACTCAAGTCTGTTGCTAATGGTGTTGATGTTGTATTCCACCCCAAGAATTTGTATGACTATGGGAATTCTGAAATGGGACTAATTAGGTCAGCTGAGAATGAGGGTTTAAAGGTAGTATCTTGTGTTGAAGATAAAGGGATGGGGCATGAAACTTGGGTTAGAGTTGAAAATTTGGAAAAAGGGTTGTGTGGGAAGAGTAGGCCAGTTTTCTTTAGAGGGGTTGCTACTATTGTCACCAAGTTGTTCAATATTGTTGAGCCTGATGTTGCTGTCTTTGGCAAGAAGGATTATCAACAATGGAGGATTATTCAGAGAATGGTAAGCTTACTAAAAAAGAGTTCCTCTTGTTTGTTTAAAAATGTTGGATTGGTTTGTAGATGATCTTAGTTGCGCTCGGTGTTTGCATCAAATTAATGAAATTTAACTCTAAGAAAAGCACTACTTACAAGTTGAGGTAGTACATTATTTAACAGTAGTTAAGTGATCAAATTTTATGCTAAAAGACACATGTTACGCGTAATATAGTTTTGGTGAAAACGCAAGTGCAGATAAGTTTCTTCCTTGTGTGGATAAAGCAATCCAATATGGTCATATCTGCCCTGCTGAAAGTAAAGCGGCTTATTGGGGAATGTTGTTGAGATGTTGTTTGGTTTCTGTTTCTTTGCTAGTCTTAATCAAGCAGCATACTTCAGAGCTGAAGTCTGATGTGATTTTAAATTGATAGTCTCAAAGTAATTCTGTTTCAGGTTCGAGATCTTGATTTTGGGATAAAGGTGATTGGTTCTGACATAGTACGAGAGCATGATGGCCTTGCAATGAGTTCCCGCAATGTGAAACTTTCGCCTGCGGACAGACAAAAGGTGCTTCTTCTATTATCAGTATCTCTTAGCACGATGAAGGAACATGAATTATGGCAAACATTAGCTTATTCAGAATCCAGATGTATGGGACAATGCATACGCAAAAACTGATTTCTTGCTAAGGCTCTCTCTTATTGTTGTCTGGCATTTGTGCTAATTGAAACTTTTTTGCTTTTTATACTCTTCCACAGGCTTTGTCTATTAGCCGAGCACTGTCTAAAGCCAAAGTTGAGTCAGAAAAGGGACAGGTCAACTGCGGAGAGCTGATAAATTCAGCAATTCAAACCATAGATGAAGCCGGTGGAAGGGTCGATTATGCTGAGGTGAGAACTTAAACAATAATAATATCTTTCATATGGATATAAACAATAGAATACCAACTGAGAACTCAATCACTTTAGGAAGAATGGTATGATCTTGACAATTGTGCTTTCAATGTCCTCTAGCTGCAAGTTATATTTGCCAATCGGAAAATACACGAGTACTATTGACTTGTCAAGACGTATGACCAAGTGGCTTTTTAAGGAGTGAGTATCATAAAGCTCTCTCCAGTTACCTTTCCACCACTGCAATTCCAATGACATAAAAGTCATACTACTGTTTCCGTTACCCTCCTCTTAAACTAGTAGATATATAAAGCAATATTTTGTATGGTTAGCGTCTCAGAAGCTTTGTCCGGACAGTATCTGTGCAGTGTTCCATAAATGTTCTCACGTAGCAACATAAAAGGTTATGAATACAAAAAAAGTTTTTTTTCAAATGATGATTTCTTGGTCTGGTTGAAGGGGAGCCTTGGCGTAATGCTAAAGTTGCTGCCATGTGATCAGGAGGTCACGGGTTCGAGCCGTGGAAACAGTCTCTTGCAAAAATGCAGGGTAAGGCTGCGTACGATAGACCTTTGTGGTCCGGCCCTTCCCGGACCCCGCGCATAGCGGGAGCTTAGTGCACCGGACTGGCTGCCCTTTTTTATTTCATGGTCTGGTTATCTTGTTTACCTTATTGCTGACACCTTCTCTGCATCAGATTGTGGAGCAAGAAAGTTTAGAGCCGGTGGAAACAATCAAGAGACCAGTTGTATTCTGTGTAGCAGCATGGTTTGGAAAGGTCAGGCTCGTTGACAACATGGAAATAAATATATGACATGGAGCCACCAAATATATATACGATAACCAAATATAGAAAAACAGAGGTGAAGTACAAGTCCCTGGTTTGCAAGAAGATTTTGCAGTTTGTAAAAGCCATCTAAAAATGACTTTTCTCAAAGGAAGCCAACTGGAGAAGAAATGGCTTCAAGTGGAGGAATCATCTTTCCAACTGCAAGAAGAATACGGAGCACTTAGCTAGTCTTTTCATACTGCTCTACTATTGTCTTGGTTTCTTTTTTAGGGTGAGAACCAGAACCATCATTTACTGATTCTTCGACAAGTCTGATCATCCTCCTGACCTCGGCTATAAAATCATTTCTTTGTTCTGACGTTTAACTATCCCATTTATAACTCTCTTTTTTGAGGAACACGTAAAATAGGACATAGAAATGATGTTGCATTCGTTACCAGAAAATGCCGGGAGTCCTACAATGCTAGAACTTTTAAAATGAATTGTTAGGTGAAAAACTCCTTTCCAAAGAAATTTGTTACCACCAAATTTTAGAAAATGTCACTCCAAACAGGAAAAAAGGAGACTGATGTCAATAGTTTGGTACAAGGACAAAAATTCGACAGTTTTCAGATAAAATTTTGTTGTTTGATAGAGACAGAAACCTACCTCCTCTAGTTCGAACATTTTATAACTTGTACCTTCTTAATTAGCAGTTACGGCATGGAAATAAGGTGAGGTCTGGAACAGTTTGTCGAATAAAAAGATACTATCGCAAGCCAAAATAAACACTCACAACCAGGCAGTGCTCTAGAATTCTGTCCGGGCACCTTTCCAGTGGTTCATACAAGGGAAAAGGGCCAAGTATACCCCTTTACTTTTGGATATTGTTTAAATTTAACTTCCGTTATACTATTTGGTCAAATTTACCCCCACCGTTATGCTATCCGGCCAAATTTAACCTTACAATCAGCAAACTTTTAAAAATTAACCGTCAGTCCGTCAGGTGACCCAAAATACTCCCAAATTATTTTAATTAAGTCACTTATTCTTTTTCTCGATCCACTATTTTCGAATTAATTAGTATTTGCCTGCTTTCTTTATTGGAAAAAAGAAATAAGAGAAGAAATATTAACATAATACAACGGTAAGTAAACAAAGTATAGTAAATTGAAGAATCTAAATTAGGTAGCTTGTCTAAATTCCAAGAGTATTTACAACATTCCACATGAATTCGTTGCACCAAAGGTATGGAGATTTTGCAAGTATTAATGATAGAAGTTGAAGTTTCTTGGAGACTTTACATTGTCGAATTCAATGTTGCTTTAATCAAATGTCTACGCATCGTGCACTCTAAAGTTAGTCGATCGAACTCTATATTAACTAGACAATAACAAAATATATTCGAATATACATGTACATACATGATGATCAGCTGCACATAATACACAATAAATAGACCTATTGATGTCACGCCCCAAATTCGAGGGACATGACCGGCGCCCGACCGGGTAGCCCCAGCCAAGCGAACCTAGGTGCCTTCCCTAACCCCCATGTTACCCCATGTTTTCCTTACTCGATTATTCAAAGAATTTGCCAAATAATTAATTAAGAACACTTTTTAATTTACAAAACACATACATACTTACATAATAGTAATGAAATCACCAACTCGTTACCAATGTATGAAAACACGGATCTACACAAGTTTCTAACCCACATCTACTGTCTACGGAGCCTCTAAAAGTACAACAGGATAATATTGTATTTGTCGGTAACAAGGCTCCGGCTATACCTTACAAAAAATAAAAAAAAATAAAAAATAATAATAAGACTCCGAAAACAAGCGGCCTGAGCCACGCAGGGCCCCGAGAGGAAAGGGGCTCACCAAAAGGTGATGGAGGACGAACGGGAGCTACGATCGGTGGGCTGGAGTACCTGCTACGGATCCACCTACAATCATGTAGCGCCCCCGGCAAAAGGGACGTCAGTACATTTGAATTGTACTGGTATGTATAACAAACTTTACCCTGAGTAACCTCAAACCATATACGAATAACAAACAATAGAGGGAAACATCAATTGAATACACACAAGGAAAAAAAACAATCAAGGCAAACAAGTTGACAATCTCTCCTTTTCCCCATCATCATTTCCACATTTTCAATTTCTCAATGTTCTCATGTTTCATTTCAATAGTGATATCGATCACTTTCCACCCTTATTACCTCGGCCACCCTTATTACCTCGGCCACCCTTATCACCACAACCCACACCTTATTACTTCGTGTTGCGGCGCGCAACCCGATCCCACCGAGCAATCACAATTCACAAACAATAGCACAACAATAACAATTTACAAGGAGAACAACAATAAGTTTCAGGAATAACAACAACAAATCCTAATAACAACAGCAACACATCTCAAAGAACAACAACACAACTCACACAGAGTTTATATGACTATCAATGCCATTTCCATCTTTTTCAACAGCCCGTTGTACCATTTAAATCACAGCAATAATTTTCCACAGCTAGCCACAAAGGATGTTACCACAGTTATTTCAATATCACCAATTTCGATTCCTTTCCATCATTTATTCCACAGTTCTTACCACATAATACATTCGCAATTACAACTTGGTTTATTGCCATTTACTTGCACAACCAAATCGGACGTCTTAACCAACAACGTTTAAGGCACAACATTGACATGAATTCACAAATGGTTTACACAAGAAAACACATACTACTCACAAGAGTTTAACTTCACAACTAATCCATGAAGATATCACATACCAAGTATTTGGACACCAAGCATGGCGATTTTACAAAGGTTAAAGTTAGCCATACATACCTGGAGTTGAATCCCTTTTTAATTTCTACTTCCAATTCACCAAAAATCTAGCAACGGCAATATAGCACACAAATTAATACACATAGCTTAGAATTCAAGGTTCAAAATCACTACCCGAACATATTTAGGTTATTAACCCCTTCTTTGTACAAGTCTTTGCTCCCACCCAATTACTCCCACTAGGTTTATGGTTTTAATGGACATGCATGTATGATTTCAACCATTACAATTAAGAACCAATGCATGAGACTCCCCCCCCCCCCTAGTTTAAACCAGAAATTCAATGAAAAAGGGTTAGGGATTTTACCTGCAAGAAGAAGGGGAATGAAGATAAGCTTGAGATTTCCCGGCCCGGATGGTTTTGAAGGATCAAATTTTGGAGAAGATGACTTTCTCTCTCAAGACCCTCTCTTCCCCTCTCTTATTTTGTGCAGAAGGTCGTTAAAGAATGAGGGGATGGGTGTTTTTATTACAAAGGGGTCGGGTTTTAAAATTTAGAAAAATAGAAGCCGAGCAAGATCTGGGGTCGCATTCTGCGATCGCAGAATCGAAATGCGGTCCGCAGAGTGGACCGCAGAATTGCCCCCAAAACTCTGAGGGGTCTGTTTGGGTCTGCGACAGGAATGCGGTCCGCATTCCTATTATGCGGTCCGCATTCCTATTGTGCGGTCGCATTGTGCACCGCAGAACTGACCTTCACAAATCCTTGAGGAACTTATGCGACGATTATGCGGTCCGCATATTGATTATGCGATCGCATCATAGACCGCATTTTTCAACATTAATTTTGACAACTCTTCTGTTTCACTCTACGGCAGAAATGCGGTCCGCATATTAGATCTGCGACCGCATTCTGGCTGCAGAATTGCATTTTTTTGGAAAATTGATTTCTTTTGATTTTTACAAGCTTAGATCAATAGCAAGGGTCCGAACCGCGGCGCATTCCTAACACACATTCGGAGTCGACACCACAACATACTAGGTTTTGAGCCAAAAATTTTACGGGGCCTCACAATTGAATTCTATGGTATGTATATGGTTGAAAAATGAATAAAATTTTAAACCAATTCCAAACTCATTATCACAAGAAGAGAAGTGGGTGCATTGGTAATTAAAAATATCCATGAATAATTTGTATAATCTATTACCTTTAGCATTCACATCGGTAGTAATTTCTGAAAATAGTGGAGCAAGAAGAACAACAAATGATTTAAATAAAAGAAAATTAACGATAAGAGTAAATTTGACCGGATAACATAAAGTAGGTTAATGTAGACAAAATCCGAAAGTAAGGGGTATATTTGACCCTTTTCACTTCAATACAATCATACTCAGGGACAGAGGAATAAGCCCACGGGATATTGCTATCTCAATCAAAACAAGCCAGAAATATCAATAAAAGGCTATCGAATTCTCAACACACTCGACAGAAGCATATTTACGGCCACACAAAAACCAACAAAATATAGAAGAAACATGATGAAATCACACATAGTGAATTTATCACAAGCGGACCTCGCATAATCCTTTAAAATTTAAGTGGACTATTAACTTTCCCTGCAAAACAGCTTTTAAAAGTCCAATCATAGCACAAGATTTAAACTAGTTCACATATAAGGAGCGCAAGAAAAAATGATAGCATAATAATGAAGCCGTTCAAACAGAGAGGAGGAAAAGAAAGACGCAGTACACATATTTTCTCCTCTGGTTCCTTTGTTTCAGAGTCTTTTCCATCCAATTCAGAACCAACAAAATCAAGAATCACTATGTGACCTGGTGAACGAGGGAGACTCATTCAATAGTATACTCAAAAGAATTCACATTACAAGCTATACAGGCAGTGTCTCATGATACAGAGCATAGAACAAAAGATGTCACAACAAAAGAAAAAAAGAATTATAAGGAACTGACATGCCACTGCTACAAAGATTAAGTGTCACAATTTTCAATCAACATCCAGCCTAGTAAGGATGAGGAACCTCACTAATGACAATTGAAACCACCACATACTGACAAAACTATGATCAGAATCAAGGCGATAATAATTCCCAAGACTATAAGCTTGATCTTCATGTTCTGCAACCACATCTTCCTCCTCATTGTTGTTCCTTGTGTCCTGAAATCTTGTGCCTGCAACAAGACAAAATATTCACTTGAATATTTCATCCTCAGATGGAACAAAAAAAGAAAAACAATAACACCAATGCAAGTTCAGAAAGAAGGTAAAGGAAAAAAGAAACAATTAGGTGTAATGATGTAACAACAGCTCACAGGGTCCAGCCCACTGGAGCAAATAAATCATTACCAAGTTGCCAATGAAGTTAAGGGAAGGAGACCACTAGCCGTTGGCCTAATGGATTGCACAGAAAGCATAGTTTAACTAAGCGATCCTCAAAACATAAAATGTAAACCAACATAGCCGAATGATTGCCCGACTGTAGTTGCCAGGCTACTATTTGCTACTAATGGCCTGAGCATAACCACTAGAACTTTCTTTTTCTTTTTTTCTTGTTAAAGGTAATTAACCACTAGAAATTTCTTGCAACAGAAAATATGCAGCTAAATCATTAGCATATCCTTCAAATTCTAGGGAAGTAAACATATTCAAACCACTTTGAATTTGCTGAAACTAGTAGGCCATAGCATCTTGTCATGTGCTATCAATCAAACGAGGCAAACAAACTGATTTTTATGAGTTATGACTATAGCTTCTATTCATATATAACTGTGAGATTCATCCATCTACAGCTGAAGACTCAAATATTTCAGTAACGGGACATTGTATGGTCATTTACATACCTGTGAGCGGAGATTCTCAGTCTTATCCACCAAAAGTTCAATCTTCTCGCCACGATCAAGAACCTACAAGGACAAAGTTTTATCAGAAAACCAAATAAACCTACGGGTTCTAAATCTTCCAGGACCACGACAGTGATATGTCCTCTAAAACAGTATAATCCAATATGGAAGTCAATCTTCTCTACCTTTTCAATGTTTTCCATCATCACACCTTTAACTTCCGAAACCTGAGCCTTCACCTTTGCAAGCTTACTGATTTCCTCTGGATGGTCTATACAGTACTGCATTTGTTCCTTCAGTTTGGGCCTGTAAATTATTGTTTTGAATGAAGGCGCGTATCACTTTCAACATTAACATCAATAATAAAGGAGAAGGGAAAAGAGTCTGAAAAGAAAATGCAATTTACCCAAACTCCCTGTTTAAGCTGTTAGCAACAGCTGTAGCAGCCTTGCCTCCACCATATTTCTTGGTAAACTCATCTTTGGTTCTCTCTAGAAATGCAATTGGAATCTGTCTTCCAACAGATTCCACAGCAACAACACAATATGCTGTTTGTACAGAGGGTGTATAACAATGTCAGCATGAAAAACGAGGCGGAAGAAAAGGAGCATTACATATTATTTGTCATGTAATCAATCATGGACAGTAAGAGCATAGAAACAAGAATATGAAGAAAACAAAAAATTATCATGGACAGAATAACTTCCATACCGGAATCTGAGGAAAACAAAAATATAAAGACCGAACAAAAGGGAATCTTATCGTTCTACCTTATATTGACAAATTGTCCTAAGACCCCCCCCCCCCCCCCCCCCAATTGCAAGGATAGAGGGAGAGTCTACAAACTTCTTCGGAATACAGGAGAAACTACACTAATCAGATATGTTGAGCATTTCAATTTGAAGGAAAAAAAAATAAACCGTAGCTTGAGTTTTATGTTGAAATGCACAATACTTCATCTATATTGCTAATGTGTGCTTATTAACGCATTTTGCAAGCAAATAGACAAGCGCTTAAGGCCTGGAAACCTAGTCAGCAGATAACAATTACTATGGGTAAATCTAAAAGCAGCGTTCAGTCGCTTTCACAATTCAAAACAATCTCCTAGTTTACCTTATTAAATTACGACATTATGAAGTAAACGTACACTGTCATCTAATCTTGTCAAGCACAAGACAGAAGCAACTATAAGCTCTATTGAAGACACTAGCATGCTAATTACATGGAATATTCAATATCCCAATTAGGCATGCGTGATTTTTTATGTGTTAATAGGTCATGAAATCAAACCGATCTAAAGCAAATATAAGCATTAACTAGACTAATTACCAATATAATATATTACTTATCAGTATTCTACCAAGATCTAGACTGCACAATTTAGAAATCAAACACAGCAACAGAAATGAAAGAGATCCAAAGCAAAATTCTGCATTAGCTAAACTAATTACCAAAAAATTAAATTATATTTACTTATTACTATTAAACAGAAATCTAGACTAGACTATTCCAAAATGGAATACAGCAACAGAACAAGGAGAACACAGAAAAAAGGAAATGAAAACAAAAAAGATCCTAAAATAAGCAACGAAATGAAAGAGATCCAACGAAAACTTCTTCATTAACTAAACTAATTACCACAAAATATTTAATTATTACTACTCAGTATTTTATTAAGATCTAGATTGCAGTATTCCGAAATCAATCAAACGAAAATCCAAGGAAAACGAAATAGTGGTGCAGCAAAAAAAAGGAACATAGATGCATAGATGCTCGAATCAGGAAAATCAATTAACAAAACTAACAGAAGTGAAAAGAGGGAAAATAACTCACTGAAGCCGTCTTCGACGAGAAAGTTGAAAGTATGGCCATCACAGTTATAGGTGAACTTGTTATTAGAAGCAGGAAGTTTCTGGAGGCACTGTGAGGCTATACTAGTGAAATTACCCGTAAACTCAGTGTATTCAGCGAGGATCACAGTTCCTCGCGCAACGAAGCTGTAGATCAACGACTGTTGCCCCATTTCTCTTGGCTGAAACCAAAACCCTAGCTAGTATAGTAGAGTTCTAGAGAGAGAAAAAGAGAGAGAAATGGAAAATGTGTATGGTGTGAATGAAGATATAGAGGCAACGGCAAAAGATAAAAAGGGGAAGCGTGATGATGCGGGGGACGATATGAATTTTGATTTTTGGGAATGGAAGTTTCCTACTTCCTACTTTTCCTTGTGAAGAAAAGCCTTTGCTTTTGGGGCTTTGGGGGCTGAAATTTCTTGAAAAAACAATCCCTTCTGTCGCATGGAAATTAACGGATATGCCCCTGCCAAACTTATGCCGCTACTAATAAATTTTGTTGTAAAAGTTTGAAACGGATTTAATTTCTTTTGGTATTGATTACACACGGCTTGTAGTTAAACAAGGACATTAAATTTTGTATACCCACTTATTTTTCTTCGCATTTGGTCAAATTGGGATTATTTTGTCAAATACTTGAAAGAGAGAAGTAATACAGGTATACTCTATGTATTTTCTAGAAGCCATATTATTTTCTTCATTTCAAGGTTCTTGGGTGCAATTTGCAAGAGTCAATGCCAGAAATATATTACGGAAATCTACAACATCTTTTATAGTATTGGTTTGGATCAACTTATACATACTTGACTATTTTATGAAGTATCCATTATTTTTTATTTGGATAAATATTGAATAATTTAATCCATCAAAGTTTAAAAATAAGGGAAACTTACACAAATGTCCCAAATAAATCTCAACTTACCAACCTCTAGCCATTAGTCATAGACTTACCAAAACTAGCCAACAAAAATTGAAAAACCAAATAATAGGGTTCTTTCTCTCAAAGAATTACATGCAAAAATCACCTTTCATATTTTTAAGCGTGATTAGCAACATTAGATACAAGACGAAAAGGAAATTTCATGGACGGGGTAGCAAATAAGGTGATGAAATACAAAAATCTATACGATATTCCAAAAATCTAAACAAAAAAGGAACTTTTTCAATGAGTATAGTTGAAATTCATTGAAAATATATAGATAAGTCAATATAAAAAATTTGAGGAAGATTGGAGGTGATTTGAACTGGTTTTGTATCAAAATTCGTAATTAAATCGAGTTCAAAAAAGTCTTCTGCGACACATGTATCAAACATGTATCACGCATGTATCACACACACAAGTATACATGGATATACATGTGATACACAATTGATACAAATATGATACATATGTGATACACAAATGATACATAGTGTGATACACATATCATTTTTTTTTCATGTTCAGCTTTTACTTCGAATTTTCAATTCAAACCACCTCAAAACTTCACCAAATCATCCCAAAACTGAGATTCAAGCTCCTTAAGTTGTGCCCAATCTATTCTAATAACACCCACTCAAAACAAAGCAACAATTTGATATTTTTTGCTACAAATAGCTAATTGGCTAATTTGGCTAATATTAGTAATATTTTATCAATTGGCCAATTTTTGTAATGAGCTACTTATAAATGGACATAGCTGGTAATTTCCCTAAAAATAAACTATTTGATAACCGAAATCTACCTCTTTCAATAATGGTGTAGTATTAAAAGTATCCATTTTGCTAGTCTCATTTTCTATTTAGCATTATCTAAAAGAAAGTTAATATAAATAAAGTGCTAACATTGTTGATTATATATGTACAAGTGTGTAGGGTGTAAACTTTTTTTGCATTTTTCATTATATATAATTTATATTCAAGTTTTCTTTCTAAATAACTTGTTCACTCTCAATATACAAATTACATAAAATCCTAAGAAACTTCTGCAAAAGTATTTAGAAATATGCGGACTGCGGTAGGGGTAAATGAAACTATCCAAATTAATTTTGAAGATCAGGTATTTTTATTTTCTTAGTCAACTATTAGAATTTATTTTCTTTCTTGCACATCGCGTGAAACCATAATTTAGGTAAGGTGTTACGCGGAACATTTGAAATTTTCGCAATACTTACATGCCAGCCAAACCTGCTAACATCAAACCAGGTTTATAGCTTGTTTGGCGAAGCTGTAAAAATCCGCTTATTTTGAGAAGTGTTTTATTTTTAAAAGTATTTTTGATAAGAAGCAGTTTGTGTTTGACTAATTAATTTGAAAAGCACTTCTGAGCAACAATTAGTGTTTGGCCAAGCTTTTAAAAACTACTTCTAAATGTATTTTTCTCAAAAGCGCGTTTCAAAAAAGTGTTTTTGGAGAGAAACTATTTTTTTCTACTTCTCCAAAACTGCTTCTGCTTCTTTTCAAAAGCACTTTTTTTTTAAATTCCAAAAGCTTGGCCAAACACTTCAACTTTGAAGAAAAAAAATACTTTTTTGGGGAAAAAAAGGTACATCTAGGATTGGAAAAGTTTGGCCAAACAGGCTATTAATACTAGCATGCGTCAATGTGAAAATTGAATTTAAATTATAGACACTAATAAAAGTAAAGAACTTTTCATTATCACTAAATATAGTATCGTAATTTATTTTCTATGTCACATATTATATTTGTTATGAAAAACTGTTTCTTGTTACAAGTAAACGGACGTGAAAAATCTATACACCATCTGAGCATAAATTTATACTCTTTGAAAATTTGGTCTATAGTTGACAAATCTTTGAGTCTGATACTTGCATATTTAAAATAGATTTTAGATGATTCCTTAGCAGCAACGGATAGTACACAATTTTGGACATAATCAACATTCTTATCTCTAACTATCCCATTAAGTTGTCCTCCTTTTTGTCTGCTAAAAATGGTCTTGGCATTCATCTTGACTTTAAATTTGTATGGTACTTATTAACATAATATGAGGCATTAATCACGAGCTATGTATGGCGTTGAGTTTATCAATTATTATGGTCAGCTATAGAATAACCTTATGCAGCAGCTTCTAACTAATTTCTTACTTACATTCGCAGTTTCTTTGTGTTATACTTACCAAAGTTTTTTAATTAAGTTAATTCGAGAGATGATGGATCTAGAATTTTATTTTAAGTCTTGAAGGCTCACCACCACGCCTTTGGTTGTAGTAGTTATATGGACCTACCATAAGTAGAATTATTTTAAGTGTTTAATAATTATATGTACTGTTTTTTATAATAATGATGTTCGGATTAGTTTGTGCACACTTCAATTGTTTCACCACGTAAGATATTAATTAATCAGATTCTAGTCTTCAACTTCATATCTTAAATTTATTAATATAAGATCATTAATCAGGCAATGCAATATTTGCTCTCCTAAAAGTGCGATTGAATGACACAAGGTAGCCATTTTAGGGGTTGTTATTTAGAAATTAGCCAATTTGTCATGAATTTTAGTTTTTCAATTCAATTTTCCAGAACACAAAGTCCTGAAGTTAAGATTTTTAGTTTAAATTTATAGAACAAAATTAATATTGGCTAAATCCTAAATAACAGTCTAAAAAATGGTTGTTTGTGTACTTCTCCTTTTGATGAGTACTATTTGGTGTAACCAAAATGCAGATAACTGACGTGACATCCTAATTTGATCCTCAAATAACTCCACCGCACCAAGAACGTGACTTAATATTTAAGCCAGCATATGTACCAAATGAATATTTGATTAATGCTGATAACTATGCGTTAACTAACTAGTGCCTGCCTGCAAAATATTGTGTCCACATTCTAGTACTAACATTCGAGGAACGGAAAAATTTTTTTTTTACATACCTATACACTATTGGAAACTTTATTATCTTCCCTATCCAAGTTTCAATTTAATTACCTCATATATATATAAACTTATCAATTATATACACTTTAGGAATTAAATGAGTATCCCTTTATATTAGGAATCAACTGTTTCTCATCCTTATTCTCTCTCCCTCGTGGTCTCTCTCTGTCACGACCCGAATTTTCCACCATCGGGAGTCGTGATGGCGCCTACTAATGTGAGCTAGGCAAGCCAATTCTTTAAAACTAATTACCTCATTATCCATTTATTCCTTTTTATCAAACACAAAGCGATAACGTATAAACAGCGGAAAGTTAAATTAAGCGGAAGAAGATAAAGAAATGAAATATCGGGAATCTATGTCTATTACAATTACTCAAGCCTTAACCACCCAAAACCTGGTGTCACAGTGTCACAGACAGTCTAATATTCACTACACACAAAGTTTGAAGAAATAATAGTACACTGTTTCTGAAATAAGGAAAATGAAACAGGGAATAGAAGATAGAGGAGACGCCAGGGCCTGCGGACGCCTGCAGGTCTACCTTGGATCTCCGCGTGGATTGAGGTAGCCAACTGATCTACTGTCCGAGGTCAACAACACTGGGATCTGCACAAAAGAGAGCAGAGTGTAGCATCAACACAACCGACCCCATGTGCTGGTAAGTGTCTAGCCTAACCTCGGCGAAGTAGTGACGAAGCTAGACAAGACTACCACATAAACCTGTGCAGTTCAAATATATACAGCGAAAAAGAAATACAAAAGTAAACAAGTAAAGATGGGAGGGGGAAACATGCTTCGGGGAATAACAGGTAAAAAACAGAATATCAAGAGAATTATAAAGGGATCAAAATCCAACCACTAACAAGACTAAGGAAACAAAAGCAGATTTCACTTTCTTTTCACATCTTGTTGCAGGCGTGCAACCCGATCCCATTTCTCATATCTTGTGGCAGGCGTGCCACCCGCTCCCATTTCAAGTATCTCGTGGCAGGTGCGCCACGCGCTCCCATTTCATGTATCTTGTGGTAGGCGTACCACCCGCTCCCATTTTATTATATCTCGTGGTAGGCGTACTACCCGCTCCTATTTCATTATATCTTGTGGTAGGCGTACCACCCGCTCCCATTTCATTATATCTTGTGGTAGGCGTACCACCCGCTCCCATTTTATTGCCAACAATAATCACAAGGAATCCCGCCAAGGGAGGAATATTAGCAAATAAACATCCCAGCAAGGGAACAATGATATCTCAACAATATCCCGGCAAGGGAACAATAATATCCAAACAAACATCCCGGCAAGGGAACAATGATAATAATAACATGTGAGGCACAATAAACCACAACGGAGTCATAACAATTTGTAACACAAGACTCACAGGCATGCTTGACACCGACGTATAGATACTCGTCACCATGCTTATACGTCGTACTCCACAATTAACACGTAGCAAATAGACACAACTCCTAATCCCTCAAGCTAAGGTTAGACCAAACACTTACCTCGATGCCACGAACACAATTCACAATTCAATT